TGTAGACCAGGCTGGCCTCGAACTCACAGAGATCTGCCTGCCTCTGCCTCCCAAGTGCTGGGATTAAAGGCGTGCGCCACCACTGCCCGGCAAATTTTTAATTTAAAGATTTGAGCCAGGTGCAGTGGAGCATGCCTCTAATCCCAGCCCCAGCAAGCAGATCTCTGTGAGTTTGAGGCTGCCCTATCTATAGAGTGAATTCCTGGCCAGCCAAGACTACACAGTGAGACCCTGTTTCAAAAACAAAACAAAAAGGGTTTGAGAGCTGTGGGGACGGCTCAGTGGGTAGAGTGCCTGCTGTGGAAGTCTGAGGATCCGAGTGTGAGTCCTTAGAACCCACACAAAGCGCAGCCCTGCACCTGTGACTCCATTGCTCCTGTGACAAACTGCAAGGTAGAGAAGGTAAAATCCTTGGAAAACTCAAGGGCCAGCTGGCCTGATATGTAGCCGTGAACAGCAACAAAAAGAGAGACCTTTTTGTAAAATGGATCAGTGGATAAGGCACTTGTCACCAAGCCTGGCAACCTGGTAGGAGAGTATTGGCATTCACAAACATGCTAAATAAATATAAAGAAAAATTTTAAATAAAAAAGAGAGATCTTATCTCAAAACAAGGTAGAAGGCAAGAACCAACTTCCAAAGTTGTCCTCTGACCTCCACCCTTGCACTATAGCACATGCAAGCACACACTCACACAATATAGACACATATATCTATAGACACATATATACCTGCATTGTACACACACAAACTGAAGAAAAAATATTTAGAATTTTTAACTCGGGTAGTGGCACAGGCCTGTATTTTCAGCATTCAGGAAGCGGAAGCAGAAGGACCAAGTTTGAGGCCATCCTGAGCTATATAGTGAGTGAGCTATAGGCCAGCCTAGGCTACATAAAAAAGAAAAGATTCCAGTAAATTTTGTATTTAGTCATAATCATTCTTTATGCATTTATTCAATTAAACATTAATAATAATCACTCTACCCCAAAAGATATTAACTTACATATTTGAATATTTGAACATATTTTATATATGTGTAGGTAGATCTGTGTGCACAGTTGGGTGTCTGTGTGGACATACATGTGTGTGCCTGTGGATGTCAAAGGTCTTTGGGTGTTGTTCCTCACTCTCTCTAGCGTTGCACCTTCCACTATCTCTTTGTGACAAGGCCTCTTGCTGGCTTGGGACTTTGCCAAGTAGGCCAGGCTAGCTAGCTAGCAAACTTCTAAAGAATTGTCTGTTTCTCACTCCCATCTCACAGATGCTGGGGTTATAAATATATGTCATTGTGCCCAGATTGTTAGGAGGATGCTAAGGATCAAACTTGAGTCCATGTGCTTATAAGACAAGTGCTTGACAACTGAGCCATCTCCCCAGCCCCTGAACACATTTTGTGGTAGATGAGAGTTTGATAGGATAATCCATGTACTTGCTTAAAGCATTAAAAATACATGTAATGGGGCTGGAGAGATGGCTCAGCAGTTAAGAGCACTAGTTGCTCTTCCAGAAGACCAGGGTTCAATTTCCAACACCCATATGGCGGCACACAATGGTCTGTAACTATAATCCCAGGGCATCTTATGCTCTCTTTGGCTTCTGCATGCACTGTAATCATGTGGTGGGCAGACATGCAGGCAAAATGCCCACTCACATATATTTAACATAAACCTTTAAAGCTGGGCAGTTGTCATGCATGCCTTTAATCCCAGCACTTGGGAGGCAGAGGCAGGTAGATCTTTGGGTTCAAGGCCAGCCTGGTCTACATAGTGAGTTTGAGGACAGCCAGGGCTACACAGAGAAACCCTGTCTCAAAAAACAAACAAACAAATAAATAAATGTAGGTGGATGTTTCTTTCCTACCCGCCAGTTCCCAAATAAACACATTGAGGCTTAATATTAATTATAAATGCTCGGCCAATAGCTCAGGCTTATTACTAACTAACTAGCTCTTACAACTTAAATTAACCTATTTCTGTTAATCTATGTGTTGCTACGTGGCTCATGGCTTTGCCTGTCCTCTAGCATGTCTTGCTCCCTCTGTGTCTCCTGGTGACACCACTGACTCTGCCCGTCTTCATCCCAGCCTCCTTAGTTTGGCTATTCTGCCTATACTTCCTACCTGACTATCGGCCAGTCAGCTTTTTATTAAACCAATTCAAGTGACAAATTTTTACAGTGTACAAAAGGATTATTCCACAGCAAATAAACTTTTAAAACAAGATATGTAATGAGTGCAGGGTGAAACTGAACAACTGAGCTCTTTCTTAGCAGGCACAAGGACTTAGATTCAATCCTCAGCACAGAAAACAAATGATAAAAGTTGATGAGTGAACATAAGAGTTCTGGGAAAATATAGAATGTAAACTTCCTGTGGTTAAAATGACCAGATACCTAGAGCTAGAATTATAGCTCAATTGGTAGAGTGCTTGCCTGGCATGCACAAAACCCTAAGTTCAATACCCTTCACTCCATAAATAAGACATGGTGAAACACACCTGTTATTCCAGCACTCAGGACATGGAGAAAGGAGGATTTTAACTGCCAATAAATATTTAATGTAATAAGCCTGAAATCAACTCCTTTTACTACATTTTTCTTTTCTTAAAATTTTTACTTTTAGCCAAGCAGCGATGGCATATGGCTTTAATCCCAGCACTTGGGAGGCAGAGGCATGTGATTCTCCAGTTTCAAGGCCAGCCTGGTTTACAAATCGAGTTCCAGGATAAACAGGGCTGTTACACAGAGAAACCCTGTCTCAAAAAACAAAAACAAAAACAATTTATTTACATATATATGGGTTGCTTGCTTGTCTGAATATGTACTATATACATACAGGTGTGTAGATGTAACTCTAAACAGTCTTATTAAATAAGAAACACAGAGCCAAATGCAGAGTTAAAAGCCCAAGAGGTCAGAGCAGTAGCAAATAGCCTTTAGCTTACCAGCCGCTGCCGTCCTTCCCTTGAGAAAAGAGACCTACTTCCTGTGTGTCTGTTTTTTTGTTTTTTTTTGTTTTGTTTTTTTTTGGTTTTTTGTTTTGTTGTTTTGGTTTTTTGAGATAGGCTTTCTCTGTGTAGCTTTGGAGCCTGTCCTGGAACTTACTTGGTAGTCCAGGCTGGCCTCGAACTCACAGAGATCCGCCTGTCTCTGCCTCCCAAGTGCTGGGATGAAAGGTGTGCGCCACCACCGCCCTGCCGTGTCTGTATTTTTTATTGACTTTCTGTTCTGCCTTCTCATTGGTTCTAAACCCAACCACGTGACTTCTTCGTCACTGCCTATCTATACAGACCTCCAGGTCTCTATGGTTGGTACTTGGATTAAAGGTGTGTGTCACCAAGCTGGCTATGTCCTTGAACACACAGACTCTGCCTGCCATGTGAGTGGATTAAGGGCGTGTGCTACCACTGCCAGACTTCTGCTAAATGGCTTGCTATTAGCTCTGACCCCCAGGCAACTTTATTTATTAACATACAAATAAAATCACATTTCAGCACAAATAAAATATCACCACACAGGTGCCTACAGAGGTCAGAAGAGGACTTTGCTCCCCTTGAACTGGAGTTACAGGTAGTTTCAGCCCCCATGTGGGTACTGAGAACTGAACCTGGGTCATCAGCAAGAACAGCCAAGGCAGTGCTCTTAACCTCTAAGCTAGTGGTTCTCAACTTGTGGGTAGAGACTCCTTTGGGGAGGGGTTTCATTTCAAATATTTATATTAGGATTCATAACAGTAGCAAAATTACAGTTATGAAGTAGCAACAAAAATAATTTTATGGCTGGGGGTCACCACAACATGAGGAACTAACTGTATTAAAGGGTCGCTGCATTAGGAAGATTGGGAACCACTGCTTTAAGCCATCTCTTAGCCCTGAAGCTCTTATTTTTAAAGTAACTTATAGATTTTTATTTCACTTATATAATTTTGCTTACACATTTTCCCCACATTGGTTAATGAGGTCATAAACAACTGTGAGGACTGTAGGAGTAAGTATTGGGCACCTGGGGCATCATCAGCTCAACAGGCCTGTCCATCACAATTGGCATGTGGAGAGCTGTGTGTCTCCTCCACTCAGGGCTGCAGAGGGACCACAGATGCCACGGCACAGAATGAACATAACCCACATGGTTGCTTTCAGGTGCTTCAAGGTGTCTTGCCAAGCAGTAGGTGTCCACCCACCCCTGGAGTTGTCCCACTACCAGATCAAGTTTTCAGCCACTGCCTTGTATGGCACCACTGTGTCCACACTGTATGTCATCAATTCTCACCTGAGCATGAACAAACTGATCCACTCCTTGCCTCGAATTGGGTCAGAGGAAGCTACCCCAGTGGGACCAACATCCTTTGAGTTCTTGGTGCCCCCTAATTCACCCATCACCATCTCACCATCCGTGGGAACCGTGTTACCAGGAAAGGTAAGCATGGGCCCCACTGACAAGCTAGGAGGCAACGCGTCCAGGCCACTCTCTAGGGTGCCTGGCTTGGTACACCTTAACCACAGGTATTGAACCACAGCAAGGCCAAGGGTATAAGCCAGGGGCTCAGGAGCAGTGGAAAGAAGACACGGTGCCCTTGGCCTCATCTGAGCTGAGAGGCAGAGAGCTCTGAGAGGAAGCTGATCCAGCACATGCCTGCCTGGGGCTGGAAGGAAGATGTGCAGACTGTCAGAGCAGCCAAGTGTTGGCTCATAGTAGACAGCTAAAGAAAGCCACACAATACCTGCCTCAAGGAGCACACCTGTGTGGCCCACTTCCGTTCAGTGTCCTTTTGTCTGGTCACCAGCAGGATTCAAAGGATACAGTTGTTTAAAACATGTTCTGTTGAATTTAGAAATTACTCCCTCCATATTGGTTGTCGTCTCCCACTGAGTTATGACAGTGTCTAGCTCTATTTTTCCTTCTACTCTGCCTTTTCCCTTCTCCTTCCTCTTCCTTTTCTGTCTTCTCTCCTTTTTTCTCATCTCTCCCTCCCCTGTTCACTCTTCTCCTCCTAACTTTTCTTCCCCCTCCTACCCATCATTTCACCCCTACAAACCCCACGCCTACATCCTGAGCATCAAGGAGATGTGGTCAGCAAGTCACCGTGGAATCTTTCCTCAGACATGTCCCATGGGAACTTGCTGCAGATGGGAAAGGGCTCCATGTTCCCAGGTTCATTTCTTACTCTAGTCTGGTGAGGTTCTGACCCATTCAGGACCCTGCTCTCAGCACCTCTAGTTAACAGACCTCCAACATACATGGCCTGAAGTCCACCCCAGCTTCCTAGGGCAGTGATCAGGGAGAACCTTCCTGGAAGGGAACATCTAGGTTAAAATATCAAAAAAGCAACCTTAGAGAAATGCAGTCAAGCTTGCTGGAACATGCCTTTTGAGAGACAAAGGTAGGCAGATCTCTGTGAGTTCAAAGCTAGCCTGGTCTGCAGAGAGAGTTCCAGGACAGCCAGGGCTACACAGAGAGACTATCTTGGAAAAAAAAAAAAAGTCGGGGGCGGGGGGCGGGGGGAGGGGGAGAGGAAAGGAAGAAGAGGGGAGGGGAGGTTGAGAGAGAGAGAGAGAGAGAGAGAGAGAGAGAGAGAGAGAGAGAGAGAGAGTGCAGACCACCATGGGAGGAGGGAGGTGCACCAGCAGGGCCACCTCTGCCCTCTGAGCTTCTGGGGGAGGGTTGGCAGTCCTAGTGTCTCTCTGCAGAGGTGTTTGGTCCAAGTGGCCTTCCAGCCTGTACTGCCACATGAGACAATCCTTGAGGAAGCCATTCATATCCTGAACAAGGAAACAGAGACCAAACTGGTAAGTGAAGTATTTTAGGGGAGGTGCATAGTGACCAGAGGGGAGCGGCATGAGGGGAGCAAATGGCATGCCACCAAACGGAAGGTGGTGCAGATGTGTGGGCTTGCTGGGGATGACCCTGTAGGCTGTGAATATGTTTCATTACCATTGGTTAATAAAGAAGCTGCTTTGGCCTACAGCAAGGCAGGATAGAGCCAGGTGGGAAATCCAAGCAGAGATACGGATAGTAGACGGGTGAAGTCAGACAGTTGCCAGGGAGCCGCCAGAGCAGCAAGATGTACTAGAGAACAGGTAATGCCACAAGCCACATGGAAAAATATAGATAAATAGAAATGGGTTAATTTAAGTTGTGGGAGCTAGTTAGTAATAAGCCTAAGCAATAGGCCAAATGGTTTGTAATTAATATTAAACCTCTGAGTGATTATTTTAAAAGTGGCTACAGAACCAGGCAGGACAGAAAAGCCTCTTTTCACATGGTCCTTGGCGCCTGGGACTGCAGTCTGTGTCCTACATATGACAGAGGTACAAGGCAGACTTTTCTGGGACTGTGCTCCGAGCTGGTAAAAGGTTGTCTTGCAAGAGCTCTCCCTTTCCTGGAAGCACCACCAGGCAGCAGGAGGCAAGGGTGACCCTAGGGTGGCTGGAGTTTTGACCAAAGCAGGGCTGGGATAAAAACCCAGAATAGCTTCTCATGAGGGATAACACAGAAACCACCTTTGGAAGGCAGCCTTGAAACAGTAGGCAAGCCTCACCCAACAGTATGTACAGGCTTTCCATGCTGTACCAACTTAGGGAGTTGTGAAGCCACTGGCTACAGGCTTACCCTTCTCGTGGCCTCATGCCTCTCATACTACACGCATGAGCGAAGAGCCCTGACCTTCCTTCCACCTTCTGATGAGGCAGTGAGGTTCAAGAAAGGAATGGACTGGAGGAGACTGATGACCCCAATTCGGCAAACTTCTTACTCTCTGTGGCTTGGTCTCTCTAAGTTCAGACATTTCAGGCCATGAACTTGTCCTTGGAGGGTCTCTGTGCGTGGGCTTCCCTGGATGCTTATCTGTCTGCACTGCTTACTTTCTTAATGATGCACCTGTTGTCAAACTCCCTTAGAGAGCCAGTTGCTTTGAGGATACCATTCACTCCAATCTTGAACCGGTAGTTCCTGTCACTCAGCAAGCAGTCAAACCAAGCCTGCTAGGCTAGGCTATAAACAGACATTTCCCCACTGCCCAGTCCCAAATAAACACACAGAGGCTCACATGAATTATAAATTCTCAGCCAGTAGCTCAGGCTTATTACTAACTAGCTCTTACATTTTAAGTTAACCCATATTCCTTATTTACACTCTACCACATGGTGGTACCTTTATTAGCATGGCACATTCATCTCCTACTTCCTCTGCATCTGGCTGGTGACTCCTGACTCTGGCCTTCTCCTTCCCAGCATTCCTTTAGTCTACTTACCCTGCCTATACTTCCTGCCTGGCTACTGGCCAATCAGTGTTTTATTAAACCAATTCAAGTGACATCTTTACAGTGTACAAGAGGATTATTCCACAGCAGTGGGCCTCAGAAGAGCCTGAGACAGGGGAGCAGTGAAACACCTGCTGTGCAGAGGACTGAGCCCCAATGGTAGCCCCTCAGCATCTGCTCCTGCTTACAGTTCCGAAAGGAAACAACCCAAAGGAAGGAACAGTGGAAACAGTCTCTGCCTGTGGTTCGGGTTCACAACCGGGACCGACCAACCCGGGCCTCTACTCCCCATACCCAAGAGCTGCAGAGGCAGGAGCTCAGTGCCAGGTAGGACGGAGGGATCTTCCCAATCTGCATCTCACCAGCTCTCCCCAGATGTGATGAAGCCTACCTTGTTCAGTAGAGGTTTTCCCATACATTGCCTGGAGCACGGCTTCACTAACTTGTGTGTCTGCAGATCCAAAACTGACTGTGTAGTGGTATTTGCTGCATGACTGGCCTCAGAAATAGTTGGACTCAGGTCTCTTCTTCTGAGGCATCTGCTCCTTGGCTATTCCCATGGGCCTGGTATCCCTCTGAACAGACTACTCCATGGTCTGACTCCAGCCTCCTCAATGAACAAATGAGCCCAAGAAAGCTCTGATGGGTTAGGCCACTTGCCAGCCCAGGACCTGTCCCTGTGGACCCAGGAATGTGGTTCTGTAGTGACAAAAACATTTACTCCCTCTCTGGATGACCAGGGTCTGCAGTGGGGGAGAAGGTCCCTACAGGAGCCAGAGAAGGGTGGGGAAAGTTAGTCTACCAGACAAAACTGGTGTGGCTACCACCTGGGACCCATAGTGGCTCTGAGCTCTGCCTCTTAATACTTTCACCTTCCCTGGAGAGTCCACCTGAGCCCACAGCCCTAGAGAGCAGGCATGACCATCAAAGATGAGGAAGGTCTGGTCCCACTCTGAGTATCCTAGGAACAGAGCCTAAGGTCATGAGGAACATGCATGAATGTTCTTTACTGCCTTCATTCCAGTTCCAATGAATACCAAGCTGCACAAGCCACCTTGGTCAGAACCTTCCAGGGGAAGTTTGACAGGTTTGTAGTGCCCTGTGTCGTTGCCAGTGGTGACATCAAAGACAGGAAGGCATCAGAACCTCTGAGCTTCAGGTGTGTGGGGTTCTTGAGACAGGATGGGGTGTGATTGGCCATAAAATCACTGTCCCTCCTCTACTGCTGGTCATATCTGAGACCTGGGGGACACAGAGTCACCCTAATCTGCCATTATTTGCCCTTGTCCTGCTTCTAGCCCCTATAACACTCTATATCTGGAGCTATGGTGTCCAGTAGTGGCTCCATCCATTGTGGTGACATCTAATGAAGGCAAGACTGTCGTTAACTTTGGTGATATTGCTGTGGGTAAGTCCTAATTCTATACTGACAGCCCTCACTCCTGACAGCGTATCTTTTTTTTAAGCTGAGGATTGAACCCAGGGCCTTGTGCTTGCTAGGCAAGGGCTCTACCACTGAGTTAAATCCCCAATCCGACAGCGTATCTTCTACCCTGGGTACCAGGACCATTCCAGTTACCATCTGCTCCCTGACCTTGCTGCAGAAATAGATGCTCCTTGGACCTTTGTGACTGTGACCTGACTCTCTGCCACATTTCAGGGCATCGAGGCATAAAGAAGATCACCCTCCAGAACATTTCTCCGGAGGACCTTGCTGTATCCTTATCCATACTCAGTGAGTCAGCTTCCAGGGTTGGAGATGGCAGTGAGGTGTGTGGCAGAACCTGCAAAATGTCATCTTCATCCTTGATACTCAGTTCTTAGTTGGAGTTCTCAGTGCTGAACCCCCATGGCCCCTTCGTCCTGCTAAACCCTACCAGAAAGCTATGTTCTGGCGAGACACAGACCCTGGTGCTGTCCTTCTCACCCCACGAGAGCATACTGGTGAGTGCAGCCCCCAAGCAATGCTACTGCCCTGAGATCCCCACACTGCAGGACCATGATGTGGCCACAGGCAGACACCACTGTGTTCTCAGGCCCAGATGATCAGCTGGAGCTTGAAAGCAGCCTGTCCTGACCCAGTTCTTGCCAACAAGTCTGTGGAAGGAAAGATCTCCAGACTATCTCAGGAGCACAGTGCTATCAGCCAGCTACTCATGGGTAGAGCTCCCATATCTGCACTTTGCTAAAGGACATAATCTCCTTAGGCTCAGGAAACACTGGACATCATCTCCAAGAGAGGCACTCTCACCCTCACCCTTACGGGCACAGGTGTGGCATCCATGATTACATGCTCCATTGAAGGCAACATCCTCAACATGGGCTATGTGCTTGCCAGAGAATCTGTCTCGACAAATTTTAAGGTGAATTAAGCCCTGGTCCCAGCCTCCTTAAAAAAAATTTTTTGGAGCCAGTGAACTCTGCATTTGGAAGTACCCAGCTGGTTGGGGAACCCCTGGAGGCACACATTGTCTCTCCTGAATTCTGTTCCCGAGAGGCTGTCATTTCTAATGTCTTCCTAGCAGGGACCCCAGAGCCTTTACTTCTAGGAAAACTGGGAGCACCCTCCCCCTGACCTGACAAAGCGCTGGCCTGAAGGATGTTTCTTGTCTTCCTACATCAGGCTCTTCCTCTTTGCTACTTATTTACTTCTTTGGACCTCTAACTAGGTGTCTCCCAGTGGACAGACCTCTAAGGAGATCCATGCTGTTACCTGGGCTCCCTCATGTTCACGTGAACATGGTCCTGTCTCACCCTGAGAGCTATCCTAGGTTTGGACTCAAGCAACCTACTTGCCCACCTGCTCTGATGGGGTCCTGAAGTAGAATACCATACAGGGTGCTATCCAAAGAGAGGACTGAGGGAGGAGAAGAGACTAGATGAGGATATGGTTCAGTTAAGAGGAGCTCTGGAGAACAGTTGACAGGCACAGAGCTGGCCACACAGTTGGGCAGGGAAGCAGGCTGCCAGCCAGCCTTGGAAAAGGCCAAGTGATTGAGTACCAACAGTCCCAAATACTGCTACTGTGGTTACTGTTGGCAGTACCACCAGAAAGGGCTTGTAGCATAGTGTCACCTGGTCCCCATCAGGTGTGATCCAGCAGCAAACAACCTAGTCATAGATACTGACCACAGGCATAGGGCAGCTTAGGGTATGCTAGTTGAGTGACATCTTGCTCTTGCAGCTACAGAATGAATCCTCGCTTCCCATCAAGTTCTGGATGCGGCTGGAGAGCCTCTCCAAAAAAAGGGCTGAGAACCGGCAGCAGCTACCAAAGTTCCTTACCTCCCATGAGCAGAGGACCGAAATTGTTGGTGAGTTAACACATTGCCAGGAATCACAGGGGTACGGAACCATGAGGAGATATGTGCTGATGGAGTACAGCAAGACAGATCATGAAGAGACTGAGCAAAAAGGGATGCAGAAGGGTATGAGCTCAGTGGAGCAGGACTGGTAGTGTTGATCATAACCCCTGTCCTGCCCGCAGGTACACAGAACCACAATGGCCAGAGCGTATTCAGTGTTGTTCCAGTTGAGGGACTCATGGTCCCTGGGAAGACTCACGAATTCACCATAACCTTCAGTCCAGACCATGAAAGCCTCTACTTCTCCGACCTGCTCCAAGTGGTGCTCTTTGAAAAGGTGGAGCCCTCACAGATCTCACCCCATTTTGGGAAGGATCCCTGTGTGTCCCTTATCTGCCCCTTCCTGGAGGCTTTTATTATCTGGTATCTCATGTTGGAGGATGTCAGACAGAGATCAGCATCCCTGGTTCTCCAGGCCCCACCCTGAACCAGCCTCAGTCCCCAATTGTCAAGCTTCAGGGCAGGTTGCTATGCTTCTTGTCCCCAGAAAGTCTCCCACCAGATCCTCCTGAAGGGTGCTGCCCGTGAGCACATGATGTTTGTGGAGGGAGGAGACCCACTGGATGTGCCTGTGGAGTCCCTGACAGTGATCCCTGCCTTCGACCCAGAACATAGAGAAGGTGAGCCCCTACCATGTGATTTCTGGCTCAGGGAAAGGGGAGCAGTGAGAGGGCCCTCTAGTACCCCAGGCCAGCAAGTGGGCATACCAAGGCCCATTGGAGAAGAGCAGATTACTAGCCCATCAGCCCCAGAGCCAGGCAGGATGCCCTACCAATCTCTACCAAGGAGACTGCTCTGAGAGGTTCCAGCTTCACCCTCCACTTCCTATTGTGCCGCCTGACCCTGGACAGCTCACCTCACCCCAGACACATCCTTCCATCTAACCACTTTTCAGCTAGATCTCCCCCTCCAGAAGCAGAGGAGATGAAGCCTATTCTGGTGACCTTGAACTATGTCCAGTTTGACACAGACATGCCAACCCCACCTGCTACCCGAGAGCTGCAAGTGGGCTGTATACGGACCACCCAGCCATCACCAAGGAAGGTGATTACAGCCCTAGCTTGAGCTAAACCCCAGAAACTTCATTGGCCTCCCTGACCTGGGCTCCCTGACCTCTCCTGGCCTTGTGTAGGATTTTTGCAGCAGATATAGGGTGGCAGTCCTGGTCAGAGTTGAGGGGTGGGTAAAGCTGGGCACCCTCATTCCACTAGTTCTACTGCCTCCTGAGAGTACCTGACCCTCTAACCTCCAGTAGTACCAATATCTCACAGACTGTGGAGTTCAGCCTGGACAGTATCCCATGGCTTCAGCACAAGGGCTTCACCATCGAGCCTTCCAGGGGTTCTGTGGAGCGTGGTCAGACCAAGACCATCAGTATCTCCTGGGTACCGCCTGCTGACTTTGATGTAGGTGCTGGGACCCCAGGCTGGGCAGGGAGAGGAAGTAGGCAGGACGTTGGGAACAAGCAGATTTGTCTGGAAATCTTACTAAGGAGCTTCTTCTTCCAGCCGGACCATCCACTCATGGTGTCAACCCTGCTGCAGCTCCGGGGAGATGTAAAGGAAACCTACAAAGTCATCTTTGTAGCCTACGTGGTGGCTGGGCTCTGAGGTCACAGGAAACTGCAGAGCCTCTTGGACTCTCCTATCCACCCTTGAATCCCTTCCCAGGCTGTGGGGCCGGGGCAACCCATTCCCCTAGGCCTGGGACCTGGGACCTGGGCATCCCCTGCTGGGCAGGTTCAAACTTCCCAGAGCCAGAGCTCCCCAGCCCTACAGACATGGCTACTTCCTGCTGCCCTGAAAGCAATCCAAGAACATCCCCACCACCACCGCGCGCCACAAACCAAGAAATACTAATCCATCCAACTCACCACACACAGCCTGCTCCTAGATACACTACCTCCAGCCCCCAAATCCCAAACCCACCAGCACCTCCTCAGGCTTTAGAGGTCCTAGGAGATAGTGCAGGTCTATCAATAAACTCTAAGAACCAACGCACAAGTGTGCAGTGACAGGGTGGGGGTGGGGGGCTGGCTAAGCACAAAGTAAGGTGGGAGGGCAGCCTGGAGGAAGCCTGACCCACACCCCCTCTCACAGACACCAACCCATAAAACAATGTCCTGCCTGGAAAGAACCTCCCCGAGGGTGGAATCTTGCCGGATAACTAGAGGGAGTTCACCCTGACTCAAACGCTGGAAGATTCCTCCAAATCTATGTTATTGAGGGTAACAGCATACAGTTCAGGGTGCTGGGGGTGCAGAGCCAGGGTTGAGCCTGGTCCAGACCTAGAAAGGTACAGGGAGGAATAAGAGGAGGACAAGAGCTTCCAAAGTCCAGAGTTGGTCCCTTAAGCCTCCCAGCTCCTCCCAAGTCCCAGGAACCTAGATGATCCCAACCAAGAAGTAGGCCAGGGGCAAAGGGGGCCCAGCTTATGAGTCTGAGTTTACACTTGTCTAAAAAGAATGGATTTTGCCTTCTGGGCCCCAGCCCACTCAGCTATACTCCCACTCCAACACTGCATCCAGCCTGCCTTCCTGCCGGTGCAGCATACCCACTTTGCCACCCAATGGGGACAGGCTACCGTGAGAGCCTTCCCAGCCTTCCTAGGCCTGGCAGGGCAGTGGGGGTGATGACATCTATCGGGGTGCTCTCCTGAACACTGCTTTAACTCCTGTACTTGGGGCCCTTGAAACCTTGAAGCCTGGCATTGCCCCTAAGTGAGCCAGTGACATTGACCTTAAAGCAGCATTTTACAGGATTTCTGCTCAGTGACCTTGGAGGTATTAGGCCCAGGCCCTTTGCTGCCCCGAGCTGACCAGTAAAAACCCTTGGCATGTTTCCAGGTCAGATGGGTGGCAACAGCAAGTCCACTAGGCCAGGCTAGGGTTCATGAGGACATGCTCTAGGGAAAGCATGGCCCCAGGCAGGCCACTTCCTTCTGAACCCAGACATGGTTCTCCTGCCCAGGGCCTCTCTTTTCTGGACCCCAGGCTCTGATCTGGGCCTCAGGTTGCTCTTTTGTCATCCACTCTTTCCTCCTATTATGGTGCTGGTCCTCCAACACCAAGCATAGCCAAGGCAGAGCAAGGAGGGAAGCAAGACAGGGGACAAGTTCACCAGCCTGACAGAAAGGGCCCTTGAGAGGCAAAGCACAGGTCCTGAATGCATAGGGCAGCTGTAGACAGAACCCTGAAGCCTCCTTTAGTGAGGGAGAAACCTGAGATCAACACAAGTATGAGCACAGTGAAGAAATAAAGGCAGAAGGAGGACAGGTGCACCTCCTGTCCTTAATGAGCCTGGCTGTGCCGACCACCCCTGCAATCTGAACACTAGTGTTCCAACAGTCCCAACAGTGGAGGGCAGAGCACCTAGATTGGTAAGCTCCTCCAGGAAGAAGCAGGCATCCCAGGTTGAGGGAGGAGTGCTGTTTGCAGCACCTCAATAGCCCAGAGCCAGCTGCTGGCTCTAGGCCAAATGGGCCGACCATTCCTCAGATGTGTCCACATGGAGGGTGCATAGCAAATGTCCTCTAATAGTGGTTTGGAAAGCTAAAGCCCCAGCTTTAGTGGTGTAAACTCACACCCCTTTTACCTAGAGGATTGTGGAGTATGAGGGTGGATTCTACTTGTCCTGAGAGGCCACAACCCAGTGCAGCCCACAAGTTTCAGGAGACCTGGTTTGTGAATGGGGATGGGGAAATAGAAGATGGGGTGGCTGGGTGAGGTGTCAGTCTGATACAAGACAAACCCATGTCCCATGCCCAGAGCAAGACCTGCTCTATCCCCTACCGGAGGACCTTGGTCCTTGAAGATGCAGTGTGTGTGTGTGTGTGTGTGTGTGTGTGTGTGTGTGTGTGTGTGTGTGTGTGTGTGTGTCCCGGTCCGCGCATGCATGCGCGGTCTCTTAAACCGGGTGTTTGTGCGCGAGCGCGCGCGCGTGCTCTTTCTCAAACCGGGATGGTAACCTCTAGGGACAGAAAAATGGAGGGCAGGGAGCAAGGAGGGAAGCCTACCAAGGTGGGTGTGATCCTGGACCTTCAGCTGACAAGGTCCAGGGGCGGGGCCTCATAAAGCTGAGTGGACGCTGGACTTGAGTTCCGCTGTGTCTGCGGAACATGGCCCCTGGGCCGCCAGTCACACAGGGGCTCTTGCTGCTGCTACCTCTCCTGCCACTGTCGCAGGTGGGTTGGGCTGCGCATACGGCGGGTTTATGGCAAGTGGGGCGGCCCTGAGTTCGGCCCCGCCCCGCTCAGGCTAACCTTTGTCCCCACAGGTGACGCTGGGTTCCGCGGACAGCAACTGTGACCCTTCGGACCAGTAAGTAGCTGGGGACGGGGAGGAGGAGAGGGGACAGGAGAGGGAGACAGAGCTCGGCCCGCGTGCTGGGAAAGGCTGGAGCGGTGGAGTGAGCTAGCAGATACCCCGCCTGCTCCAGGTGCCGCTGTCCCCGCAGGTGCCCGCCCCAGGCCCGCTGGAGCAGCTTATGGCATGTGGGGTAAGTGGAAGCCGAGGTGCCAAGCCTCTTGTCCCACGGTTCCTCTGAAGGTAGACCTAGGCTAGGCCGGCCAGACCCTTTCCATCTACTGCCCCCAACTCCCTGGACGCTGTTTGTTTAAAGAGCTCTTGAGCTCCAGGCAGCCTTGGAAGCAAGACCTGATTATAGTCAGCAGAAGGCACAAGGATTGTGCAGTTGGCTGGGGACAGTGTGTCCTGGGAATAAACCCAAGGACACCTCTGGCCAGCCCTAGAGAGCCAGCCAGGGCAGGCTGCTCCTCAGGCCTGCATTTAGCCCAAGAAGTTCTGGCATGGAGAGACTTGTCTTGCTTTCTTTCCCCCTGTCTTGTTATCCTTCTTGGTGGTTGGGCATGACTGGCCCCAGTGTACAGGTGCGTGGCAGATCCTCACTCTTCTCTGCCAGGCTTATCCTGCTTGCCATACTCCTGATGCTTCTGTGTGGGGTCACAGCCAGTTGTGTACGGTTCTGCTGCCTCAGGAAGCAGCTGCACACCCAGACACGCATGCGACCAGCATGGCAGCCCTGTGAGCTGACAGTCATCCCTGTGGACAGTGACAGCCCTGCACACAGCACTGTGACCTGTGAGTGTCTGGGGGTGGTGGGCACGGGGGTGAATGCCAGACCGTCCCCACAAACCCACTCTTGTTCCCTGCAGCCTACAGCTCCGTGCAGTACCCACTGGGAATTCGGTTGCCCCTGTTCTTCGGGGAGCCAGACCCTGACTCAATGGTCCCTCCTACCTACAGCCTGTATGCCTCTGAGCTGCCACCCTCCTATGATGAGGCTGTGAAGATGACAAAAGCCAGAGAGGAAGCAGTGGCTCCCTCTCAGAAACCCAACTCTCTGCCCGAGGCCTTGGGGCTAGAGACTACTCCAGGGCCCCAAGAGCCAGGCCCCAGCACCCAGCAGCCCTAACTGTGCCCCTTTGAAAAGGGCAGGAGTTCTTTCTTGTGGAGCCGTTAAACCATAACCTGGATCTGGCACTCAGAACCAAGGACCCCACCTGTGCCATCCCTCCCCAGGGAAGGCCAGCCATCCAGCACATTGCTGCAGACTTGGCCTCGTTGCTATGCAATGCCCGGCCAGCCAGCCTGCCCTGTGTTGGCCCCTCCTCCTTACCCCTCCCACCTATCTGGGGCCCAGCAGACCCTCAGCCCAGAGGAGCCTGAACCTTGAGAGCTGAGGCCCCACTGGCATGTCAGCCCTTTGAAGAGAGAATAAAGTTTATGTGAACATGGTCTCTGCCTTTGTGGAAAGGGCTCTAGTGCCCCCAGCGTGTCCAGGAGGCCTTAGGTAGCCACCCCAGTGTGGACAGACAGGGTTAGTGGGAGTCCATTTACTTTTCCTGCTGGTGTTCAGAACCCAGAACTGGACAATGAGAAAGGCCAAGGTCAGAGAGAAATGGTCTAAATTGTGTGTCCAGGACTGTCCCACACATCCTTCTCCAGGACCAACCCCTTACCGCCTTCCCCTCCAGGTTGGGACAGTGAAAAACAGTAGAGTCTGGCTGGAACATTTACTTGATGCAGAGCTGTGGACAGGGAGGGTGGCAGTGGGCAGTAGATTTCCTGGGCAGACCTCCCACAGTCACAGCAGCTATATTACTGGACAACTTGAAGGACTCTCCTGTCATCTGGCTATAAACTCTGGGGGTAGACGGGCAGGCTAGCAGCCTTCCCTGGCCTGAGGCTTGGTTCCCAGGCTCGTCCATTGCTCACCTTCATAGTCAGTGGTTCCATCCTTGTCAATCTCCTTGGCTCAGCCTCTGTTTTACTGGGGGTCTCACACACATTCATGAACACCTGTCTACCAAGGTCTCACACTCAGCTGCCATCTGCTGGTATCTTTATGAACTCCCCATTTACTCAGGTACCACCCCACCCCGAGGCCCAAGGCCCTCCTTGAGTATGTTCCAGTCTATGTAGTTCTTGGTGTCCTTGTCAAAGCTGCCCTTAGCTTGCCCTCCTGGTTGTGGGCTTTCTCATAGTAAATCCACAACAGCACCAGGAAGCTATCATGGTTAAAGAACCCTTTGTCTGAAAATAATTTTACTGACCCAAGAATCAAGTTAGAGCTAGGCTAGGCCCACTTCTACCTTTCCCTTCTAGATGCTTCTCTCCCCATTCGTATGCACAGGTGACCATGGCCCAAGATTTCACACACACCCCACACACCCTGCCAGCCCTGACTTACTGCCTCTGTCCACATCCTTGCCCAAGGAGGCCAGATCACTCTTGGTGAAGTTGATTCCCAGCAGGCTCATGAGCTGCTCCCACTCTCCGATCTTCACGTTTCCATTGCCCTCCTCATCAAACATCTCAAAGATCCCCTTGTATTTCTTAATCTACTCAGCTGACAAGCAATCAGTCTGTAAGGACACTTACAAGTCCTTCCTGTCCAGGAGAGGTTAGGAAGTAACCTAGCATCTACTTGGCTTCAGGGAACATAATTTAAAGGGAGGCCCTAATGAAGAAAAGATGTTCAAGAACAAGCAGATGTAATGAGCTTCATGGTGAGTGAAATTCTGACAGAGGCAAAAATAAGCAAGCAGGAGGTAGGGGCAGTCATGAGTACCAGATGAAGGTGGTCAGGTAGGCACACAAGAGCCAGGGCACAGGCCATCCTTGTGAGGTAGCATCAGGAACTAAGAAGTCTATGCGACAGACCCTGGGGCCAAAGGAGACAGCACACAAGACACAGGAAACTGGCATGGGGAGACGCCCAATGAAGCCATGGTAAAGGTTCCCAGGTAAAGGCTTCCCTGCCAGCAGGTCATAGGACTAGGAAGACACAGTTCAGCATCCAACCCTTACCTTTGCACATCCTTGAAGCAACAGAGCCCTATGAAAGCCTTCAAGAAAGGGGTGTTCCACCCTGGCCCTAGAGAAGGAAAGTGTATTGGTTAAAATATTAAGGCAACTCCACATAGTTTAAAGGGAGGTTTATTTTGTGGGGTAACTTACAAGTGAAGGGATAGGTTACAGGGTCTCGGAAAGGTGTAGTGCAGTCCGGCGGTGTTCTCTGGAGAACTCTGCTTGGTCTACCTCCAGCATCCAAGGTCCAGGAACCAAGAGAGCCCGTACATCCAAATTTCAGGTCTTCAGTGAAGCCTCAATGGGGGTTGGAACTTCCAGATCAAAGCTGGAATGGCTATCCACTACAAAAGTGTTGATGGCTAAAGGCTTCTTCTAGGCTTCCAGAGCTCCTTTTTAGGCTTCCAAGAGGTCCTCACAGCTTGGGTGCATTTCTGCCTGCAGGCCCTGCCCAAATTCCCACCCCACCCAGCTAGTCCACCAGAGGTTCCTCTGGGTGCTGAAACTACCTTATTATGTGTGTGCCTGATCAAGAAGACACTGCAGTGATTCCAAGCTGCTTTGGGTAGAGCATGCAGAACAGTGGCCCAGCCAGGTCTTAGCTATGCTCAACTACCCAGGGCCTCCAGGACAGATTCCAAAAGCCTTTTAGGGGTAGGAAATCCTGCCGGCCCTATAACAGGATAGGCTCAGTCCTTCCCTACAGGGGCCCTTTCCTGAACCTTCTCAGCCTGGGAGTCCCCTAGCCCTGAAGATGAGTGCTAAGGGCCAGGAACAGAGGGGCAGAGACAGGCTACATGGGCTGTTCCCTTCTCATGATCAAACTCTACAAGCCCACACACATGAATGTACACACACACATACACACACACACAAAAAAAACAAATAAATAAATAAAAATACATGTAATAATTTTTTCTGTAAGTTTTTAAGTTCAGGGCTGAGGAGATGGCTCAGTGGATTAAGAGCACCAAGGTTCTACTTCAGGTACCTTCATTGAAAGTGGCCATCACTCACTTATGAAACTTCTTGCAAAAGGCCCAGACTAACCAGTTAGTTTCCTGTTGTATGATATTTTGTTTGTTTTGTGACAAATAAAGCTTGCCTAGAGATCAGAGGGTGGAGCTAGCCACTAGTTAACCATAGAGGCCAGATGGTTGTGACTCACACCTCTGATACCAGCACTTGGGGGGCTCATGCCTTTAATCCTAGCACAATTGGGACATGGAGACAGGAATATAAGATAGGTAGAGACAGGATCTCGGCCCCTTTTTCATTCGGAGGATTCGTAGAGGTAAGAAGTCTCTAGTGGCTTCTGCTCTGTTGCTCTGATCTTTCAGCTTTCACACTGATATTTGACTCCTTAGGATCACACTGCAGTTCCCCATTTGGCTTTGTCTGGCTGGTCTCCCATGCTCATGGACTCAGTTCCAATCTCACTGCTAATACTTGGCAAACACTCTACAAAGGCAGAATGAGCAAGTTGGCTAAGGGATCCCAAACACCCTGCACAGGTGGGGCTAAAGGTCCCCCACTCAGAGAAGGAACATGGGCACAACCTGGGGCCAGGCAGGTGAACCTGGGGCAGGCTGCCACCAAGAGGCTGGCAGGTTTCCTCCAGGCAATTGGGGGCTATTTCTTGGGAAACCTGACCTCCCTTCCACTCAGAACAACAAAGTGAACTCCCTAGGGAGTAGCAAGGTACCACAGAAACACTCAAATACTCTGTGCCCACTTATACACTTGAAGTTTTTTGTTTGTTTGTTTTTGTTTGTTTGTTTCACATGTGCACCAGCCCCTCTTGTCTGAGTATAGCAAATCACCAGGCAGTGGTGCTGACCCCCTAGAGCTTGTTTGGGGGGCTCCTTGCTCCGATCCAGGCAGTGAGCAGGAGACCCACTGGTTAGAGACCACAGCACTTAGTTTATACTTGTAGATCTCAGATCTGTGGGCTGAGGGGCTCCTCTCATCCCTAGCTGGCTGGCTGCCAAGATTAGTCATGACCTCAGCCTACCTGTCCCATGCCTGTCTGATGGCTCTGAGCATGTGGGGCATTCAGCGTCCTCCAACAGCCCAGTCCTCTGCCTGCCAGAATACCCAGAGCTGCAGGATGAGAGCTGCTGAGGCCAAAAAGTCTGTGCTAATGGTAATGGGAAGGCTCCAGTGTGCAGCAGGCCTGTCTCCTGGGACTGTGAAAGAGGCCAGCTCTGGTTTCGACGTGGTTGGAGGATCATCCTATACCTTCATCCTGGCTGTGATCTGGCTTTGGTTTTCCCCAGGATTGGGGGCTCTCTGTGTATTGAATGCCTTCTTCCAAGGGTGCAGGGTAAGGGAAACCACAGCATCTAGACACTGGCCATCCTACCTAGATTCTGAGCCTAGAGTCACAGAGGGGAGGCAGCAGGTTACAAAAAGATGTCCTGGACAGCCATGCCTCACATCTCTTACCTGACGGTTGTAAAGAGTCTTTCTCTGTCCTACCAGCCAGCTCCCAAACAATGACATGGAGACTTATTAATTATGAAAGTTCAGCTTTAGCTTAGGCTTGTCCCACTAGCTCTTATAACTTAAATTAACCCATTTATTTTAATCTATATTTGCCTCATGGCTTTTACCTTTCTTTTGTTCTATGTCCAACTCTATGTCTCATTAGCATCTCCCTGTGCCTCAATTATCTCCTCCTACTTCCTCTCTCTGTACCTGGAAGTCCCACCTATACCTCCTGCCTAGCTATTGGCCATTCAGCTTTTGATTATACCAATCACAGCAATACATTTTCACATAGTGTATAAATATCCCACAACATTTCTCCCTTTTGTCAAAGTAAAAAGGAAAGGTTTTAACTCTAATACAGTAAAATTATACACAATAAGGGCAATTATCAAGTAAGAAATACATTTACAATGTCCAGTCTATCTGTATTTGGCAAATTAAGAGAAAATGTTCCATTATTTATCCTATCTTGGTGAGTCCAAAGTTTTGGACCTAATTTACTTTTTATCCTAACTTGTAATACCAACCCAAAACTATCTTTTTGGACCTCAAAATGTTTTCTTAGATAAACAACTTAAGCTTTTATGTCTCTCAACCCTGCATATTTTACATCTCTTATATAAGTTTCTTTTCTGAATTTGGTAACAAGGAAAACTGTAACTATAACTATATCATCTTCAACCCCATCAGAGACCCAGGAAGGATATAATACTACCTAAGTGAACAGGAAGTGCAGAGCAAGCAACTTCCAAAACTATAGAAATGACAGAAGCAGCTGGCTTCCTGGACAGTCACCCAAGGTTCCTCTGCAACGTTGGGGCATCCATTTCTAGCCTACAGGCCTAGAATATCTGACAGACTTTTCTGTGAAGTAGGAATTTTGGAGAACTGCCCTATCTTGTTTTGGCAAAGTTTGGTAGTCACCTTCCTTT